AGAGCTTAACATTGAACATTCAAACTCAAATGACTTAAACAATTGATAAAGGACTTGAATTGGTACACTGGACTAGATTTTGAACTACAACAAAGCTTGGATGTGGATTTCATATTGACTCAAAGGAGCCATAATTTGAACCATTTGAACTCAAACTTGGAGCAAAGCTTGAACTAGATAAACTCAAATTTGAGTTTGGATTTGATTTTAATGATGACATAAAGAATTTCAAAATGAACCTTATAAGATCTAACTTGTATAGATTACAAGTGGTAAACTCCAACTTAAATGCAAAGGAAGATGCATGAGAGGCTTATGATTCCTACATCCCCTTACAACCAATGTACATGCAATCAAAATGTGAAGCTCTCAAATGAATATGGAAGGACATTCATGTTGATTTAGAATGCAAATCTCACTAAATAATAATTACCTAAAAATGAAGAGTGATTGCAAGCAATGCTTGAGGATGGATAAATTCTCTAGCTCTCATTCTTAAGCGATGACCATGCAACAAGGATCAAATAGAGAGATGCAATAATATCCTCATGCTTACAACACAAAGTCTTCAATGAGTATTCGTCATTTCAATGAAGATTTCAAACTCATCGCGCACGTTAAACAATCTTTGAAGGCAAATAATTTGCAAGGGTGATCTATTTGCAAGTGATAAGAAGATAGTGAGAGATATGGTTGGATCACAAAGCTATGATAGGGGGTTTGAATCCTTGAATTGATAAAGCTGAAATATAAAGTCCTAAACCTCAAGTTTTGAACTTTTTGAATTAAATGTTAATAAGCGAAAGGGAAATTCGTTGCATGCAAAGGACAACGACACGCCACCGGATCTGCAACACTTATGCAAGCAGACAGAAGGTGTCCACAAGACTACGACACGCCACCGGATCTGCAACATTCGTACAAGCAGACAGAATGCGTCTACAAATATTTTCAAAATATCCCTACACGTGCACCGTAGCTTGTATACACATAGGTACACAAAGGAGTATGTCAAATTAATGAAATTCCCAAACACCCGCATGGGTCCCGGCGAACATGTTATTGGTACACACGTGACGTCTAGGGATGCTACGCGGCTTATTAAATATGGACCTGATCCTCCTAAGCAAATAAATAGGAGTTGACAATGTCCGATAAATAATTATAAAATGCCCCCAAACACCCGCATGGGCCCCGGCGAGCGTGTTATTGGTACACACATGACGTCTAGAGATGCTACGCGGCTTATTAAATATGAACTTGATCCTCCTAAGCAAATAAATAGGAGTCGATAATGTCCGATAAATAATTATAAAATGCCACCAAACACCCGCATGGGCCCGGGCGAGCGTGTTATTGGTACACACGTGACGTCTAGGGATGCTGTGCGGGTTGACAGGTGAATTCAAGTTCGAAACTGGTCCTTCTATACGGGTCAATAGAAGTCGACAGGTTTCGAACCAACAAACAAATATACGGTTGTGGCGATCGTTATATTTGTATTAATGCATTCATATTAGGCCTTCAAGACCTATAACAATGAGAATTCACTATCAATGGCATAAAGCCAACGAAACCCGATCCTCTGTCGACAGCCCGACAGAGTTGACAAGGTTCAATCCATAAAGAGAAATTACCCCAAACACCCCGATGATTGTCGTGTTGAATGCAGATCTCAACCGGAGGGGCTCACAAATACTTTCAAATGCCTCCTAAAAGTCTATTCAAAATCCAAAACTCCACAAAAATACCAAAATCCAAAAATTCCAAAGATAATCCAAAATCCCAAAATCCAAAAATATTTAAAATTGAAATAAATCCATCAATAACTTAAAGCAAAATACATCCACCCTCCACAACAGTTTGTCAGGGTGGACAAATTAAAATTTACTTTTGCTCACAAAGAGCCAAATGCCTAGTCGAAAATATCACTAAGATCCATTCTCAAAACAATCTCCTGCTAGTAAGAACGTGATACGTGTCCTCTAACCGGCGATTTGCTGCCAAATGGCACCGCATAATAAACGGTTATGACCCGGGGCCCTCTGAACCGAGTGGTTTTGCCGCCAAATGGCACCACGAAATACTGGTTATGGTCAGAGCCGATGCGTTCCTTATTGGCATCAAATCCTTGAGATATGAATCAATAGGATATGATCGATATGGCACAAAGCCCTCTGTAAGCTAAGGCGAATTCAAATTTGTCCCCTTAGACAAACATTCATCCCAGGTCTACAAGGTCCCCTTGGACGAAGCAACCCATGGTTGCCGACAAGGATCCTTCTGTCAGGTTGGGTCGACTACCTCCTCTGACTAAGTAGACCAGTGACCACAATGGCCCGGGATGACGGAACCATGTGATCTTGATCGGGTCTATCATCCATTCCCCCACCATCCGCTTTAAGTGTTAGATGGTGCAATTTCTAATTTTAAATATTAAATCTCCAAATACCTAAATTCAAAATACAATTTTCAAATCCAAATCCATGCTGTTATTATATGCTAGATAACACGTATATTCTACGTATCTGATTGACGACTAGCCTTAATCGAAAGTTCTCTCTCGTGATCGGGAGGGGTAATTAACTATAGGGGCTTGCGCCTATAGGAAACCAGAACTCATAATATAAAATCATCACAAAATGAGGTCGAAATCTCTGGGTAGTGTCTTATCTACAAACCCATCTGCCTTCCAAAATTTACCCCAGAACTTATTCTGTTAAAACTACCTCGCCGAATAAGAAGAAAAGCGAGCGGAAGCCGGGGCCGAATTTTTGGAGCCCACACACCCATGTGTCAACACCAACACATGGTACCTTACATGTTGGTTAAATATATAGGAAATTGCATAAATCTCCAGGAAAAGACGTTTTGGTATTATTTAAATTAACTTGTTACAAATATGTCCTACAAAAATTTAATATTTAGGAAAAAAAATAATCTCCTGAGTATTCATATGTGGTTAATTAGTCTCAAATTGTTATATTTCTCCAACATAGTCCCTTGACATTACAAAATTGATCACAAATAATGAAATAATCCTTTAGGCATTAAATTATGATCAATTTTGTGTAATTGAGGAACAAGATTGAGATCAAATTTGTAACCCAATGCTCATCAAATTTCTACTTGAGGGACAACCTGGGATCAATTTTATATAATCGAGGGACTAAATTGGAAAAATGTAATGCTTTGAGACTAAATTAACAACATACGAATATTCGGTAAACTAATTTAGGCTTTTTCCCTTTAATATTCATAATTACTTCTTTTTTAAAATTAAAAAATAAAATTAAAACTTCATAAGGTTCGAGAGCCATACCTTGCCACCCTTCTTCATGTACTTCAAGGATAATTCCATTCATTATAGCAATTCATGTTTTCACAAGGTTCCCACAAGGAGTGCTCCTAGCTAAGGGAGAGCCTTTTTGTATAAGTGTCGTCATCAACAGTGGCAATGATTGACCACTAAAGAGATTGGGTCATTCGGCTTTACATGGCCCGTCTTTGACTTAGTCATAGTTAAGGACGAGCTATATCAACAAGAACACGGCATTAATGGCCTATCAAAATAGGCGAAATTAGCCAAAAGCCACTAAACTCAACTTAATAGACCATTCAGACTGGATCCCCTAGTTTATATAGCCAATTAAAACGTTGATATATTGTAATGAAGAATATACATTGCCTTAATAATCTTAATTCATAAAGTTGTTGAAATCCTTAGGCTCTTCTCCCAACAATTAATATTGCAGTCAATCAGGAATAAGTCAAGGTGACTACATGTTGCGAAGCGAGCTTAGGCTCTGCACTGATGAAAACCTGTATGTCTGCTATTGTGAACCTATTTGGGCAAAGCTCTCAAAAAAAGTAAAATTTGTAATACAAACCTAATTTATCAAACAGCCCATAGCTAAGGTTATATGATACGGCATTTCCAAGAGAGTGAAGACTTACTCCAAATCTGTCAGAACTTCTTGAACTAGCCAATGATGCTCCCAACAATTAATGCCTTCACTCTTCAATAAGAAATTCCTTGGATGAGATAAGCTGTTGTCATTAACAAAAATACCTCCATTTCACTGCCAACGCTTCTTAATAACTAGCGACTAATAACTCAGTAAACCCTATACGTTGGAATCAATCCTTTCCCAAGCTAATTCCACGAGACCAGCACGCTAAAAAGTCCATTGAATGTTGAGTTGAGCGACATGGTTAATCAAAAGTGCTCAACTTATTGATGGAGTAAAAAGTAATGAGGGTTTGCATTGATTAAAAATCTTGAGTCCGCGTCGATGAAAATCCTAATCCAACACCGGAGAAAATATAACCATAAACATATACAATTTACCAGAATGAACAAATGTTTCTCAAGCTCTTCCGCATGGGGCATAAGAGTTGCTCTTTCTCAAGCGATCAATCATGATAAAGGAGATAAAACCTTCTAGTTTCACAAACCTAAAACAGACAGTTCCTCAAAATAAGTTGACCTAATAATTAAATACTTTGTTTACAGAAACTTTGGATCACCACACACCATTGCTAAAGATCAAAAAAATGTGCAATAACAATATATTTGATTCTTTGCCAGCCAAAAATGGCAACCACACCCAAATTAGAAGGCAATAGCAATCTAACAAAATAAAAATATATAAAGGTACACATAAATTAATATTTGATGTAGGATCAAACTCTATAAACATTCTTTGGACACACGTTCGGTGTCACCCTTCTAACCCATTGTTTCTTTGCCACCTAGCTGGCTACCTCTATCACGCCAAAAAAGATCATGTATGAGCCTGCAATTACATAAACATAATTGCATCTTTTCCAAGTTACCACCTCAAATTGACCCAGGCAATTTGATGCACTGAGTGTATGCATTAATTTTTTAACCTAGCTTGTGTAAAGTTGGCAATTATATATAGTAAGAAAAACAAGAGTGTCATAAGCCCATGCAAACATATTTTCATTAGAATGCAATAAACTTCAATACAAACCTTGGTGATGGTGCCAAATGAAGAGCTTTCCAGGTTAGCATTCCAATGTGTAAGAATTGCCATACTGCGAAGAAAAAGCCACCATAAAAACAGTCCCTAGCAATTCCAGCTCGAAGCCCTCTCCACATAGCATTCCAACCCTCCAAAGATATGATGTCTGAAGGTCCATTGACAAAGGATGCAAGCGGTGGCCTTCCAGAACCAGTCAACAACCATGGGTATCGCTTCAATGCAGGATCCAGGTTTGAATGCTTTGCAGGCAGGGATGATAGAAGACCAACAGTATTGCTCCATGCCTTCACATCAGGGGTATATCTTGGTAGTAATTTTGAAATAATTGAAGTAGAGTCTGGCATAGACTTGACGGTCCTCAGAATGTTGGATTTTGACGTAGAAGCTGTTTGTTTCCTGTGTTTTAGAAGTTCAAATGGGGTGCGAACAACAGCCTCTACAGCACCAGCCGCTATGCCAGCCAACATGGCCTCTGATACATACACATAGGTATCTTCCCTTCCATCTAACATTTTATAATCCATAATTAATGTCAAAATAGTATTGCAATTTGAATGGCATGTTCAAGCAGATGAAACAAGCAATATCCAACATTTTAGGTAAGAATAGCATGTTTAACCGAAAGAAATAGAAACAGCAATTATTGTCACAAAAGTTACTATTATAATTAAAGTGATTATCCAATTCAAACTACATGGACTCCACAAATCAAACTGAAGGAAAAGGTAGCTTAGAAACTATAATCATTTTGAAGATTGCTTGCTTCATGATTTCAAACCTATTTAAATTTCTTTGAATATTACTTATACTTGCTGATGTCCAGAAACAAGGGTGACAGCTAAAACCATAATCAATACAGAGTTTTAAAAAGACAGAATAGTCTTAAATAGAACATAAGGACTGGCGCATAAGTGCATTTGAACATTTCAAATCATAGCATATTTTAAATTTACAAATTAATTTTATATATAATGCTTGTTTCAACTACAGTTTAGTCAGGGCATCCATTTTCCTGAAAATGCCAAGCGTTTAGAACTAATAAATTCCAAAATCCCCTGGGTCTTGTCCTGTTCGGACAAAATGCATCTAAAAGCAGAGTAGGACTCCATGACTTTTCAATATTTATTGGAGTAAAAATTAGTAAATGAGTTTTTCTGCTACAAGAATGTGTACTTACATAGGTTCCCCTGTCATGGGGAAAACAAGAATCACATATGTTCGTTTTGAGTAAAGGAATTGAACTGTTATTATTATGTCTTCCTACTTCAGTCATCCAAAAAACAAAGTTGAAGAGAGATTTAGAACTTGTTATTAAGTCGATATAAATCATGAAACTTCGTATCTGTGCTTTTATATATTAATTAACTTGTTATATGAAATTTGGAGAATTCATATAACAAGTTATGAAGGTTATATTAAAAATAAGATCTAGATCTAGGTTTTTTATTTTACCTTGATTTAAGGAACGTCTCAACTTGTATTTCGGCTTCTTTTTTTTCTTAACTCAAGATGAAAAACTTCTCTGAAGGAACCGAGGTTGGAGAAGCACTGGATGAAGAGCTTGCAAGGCTTCGATGAAAATGGTTTAAAGCGGTTCAAACCAGCTAGTCTAGAGTAATGGGTGTAATTCAAGGATATTTAACCAATATGACATTTACATACATTTGACCAGTTTGAGTGGTCAAACAGGGTCAAGCCACCTAGGATATACCCTGAAAAATGTTTGGGTGCTGGTTTGGTCAAATCCAAGGGGTTTAAAATAATGTATTTGGTATTTCAATGAAGGAACTTTTATGTAAGCGACTTTAATCAAATTTGGTGAGTTGGCCGAGTCAACTCACCATGGGTTGACTCTCATAGGGTTTGGATCTTCTTAAGGCATGAAGTAAAGTGAGGTTATGTGATGTTCAAGTGACCTCAGGTAAAAAAATGAGGTCAACATTGTCCGTTATCTTGCTCTACACTTTATGAACTTCCTAAATTCTTCAATCAACCCTTGTGTAATGTTTAATAAAGTCTGCAAGTTCTCCAATGGTTCCACTGGTTTTAATGGTGATAAATTACTTATTGAAACTAACTTTATAAGTAGTTTTTCCTAAAGAAAGCCTTAGAGAACATAACACAATGGAGAAAAATGATTCATATAGTTGACCCCACAGTGGGATAAGGGCTTAATGTTGTTGTTATTGTTGTTGAAGCCTTAAGAACCACCACAAGGATGCTTCCTTCAAAAAGGTAAATGCACGCTACATTTGATCACCAAGAGAGAAAAGGAAAAATGAAAACATGCAACATGGTCAATCATGTATGAGTTGCACTTATAAGAATCCAGATTGGCATCATGAAATTTGTGAGAGGCAGAACCTTGATGATGTAAAGAGTGTAAGCATTAGTCGGTTAAGCAATTTGCTTAGCCTCCTCTTCCAATGGACTCTTTGTTTTGCTCTCCACCATATCCAAACAATCATCTCATAGCGAGCAGAGGAGACAACAAGGAGTAACACCTCTCACTTTGAAGGGTGAAACGAAATAATCTAGCACCAAGAATTTGAAATAAATTAACATATACTTTTTTTATAACCACGCCTGAAGCTTGACTCCTTATTAACAGGAACCAATGTTAACGCCACAGGAAAGGCTATACAGGATGATCACCATATGAGTGATTGAATGATTTGTTGTAGTCAATTACATTATTGCTAGGAAGGTGACTTAGATGAGCATGGTAAAGACATTGACGAATAATATGATCCAGTGTAGTTGGTTGAAAATTTATCGAGGACCCTTTAATGAATATGTCTTCCATGTGTCACAGGTCCATGAGGGTATTGCAGCTAAATAGTTTCTGGATGACTTTCCTTATTTGACTAAGAACTTCTTCGATTTGTTAGTTGTTAGAATAGCCTATCATGAATGACTTGTTAGAAGATTCTGGATGATATATCGATGACCAACAGATTAGAACAATTCGATGAAATTCAATAATCACAGCCTAAGTGTCAGTCTTAGGTTTGGTTCGACTTGATTCAATGTTGACTTAATGCAACTAACCAAAGTAGATTAAGAATGTAAATCACTACGCCTCAAAATAAGTAAAAAGGGGAATACGGCATATAAAAAATATTACCATCTTACCAACCAAAATCTCTCTTTTAATCAATCTAGCTCAATCTCATGCTAGAACAAGTATCCTAGTAACACCACTTTGTCTATGTTAATTATCTTTCGATAAATTTATTCAATAAACAGGAATTCTTCTCAAGTGTATCCTAATTTTATGCATATCTTTCACTAGCATATTTCCTAGCTTTATTTGACTGACGGGCAGATTCAAACATAAACAAGAAATGGAAAAGGCCAAGAGGGGATGTGTTTCTTAATCAAGATCTATCATTTAATGCGGGACAAAATAATCTGTCCTTAATGGAAGAATGTCATATTAAGCAGAATCCTAATTGAATATTTCATCGGTTTGCAGTATGCTGCTTTAAAAAAAAAAAATCGCACTGAATTATTAACAGAAGAACAACTGTCATCTAAAGCAGCAATGGGAGGCTGGAAGATCTACTGATTCAATATAAAGTATCCCTTCCTACATGGAGTCTTAGATGCATACTTGTCAATGGCGCAGAATGGTGCGCGTCATGGCACACGGCGTGGCGCGGCGCACCTACTGAGCCATCTGCATGGCGCGGCGCATAGGTTCAAGTTGACGGGCGCCATTTGCGCCATGTCTGCGCAATGGTGCAAGTCGTGCACAATTTCAATTTAGGTTATATAATTTTTAATTTTTTATATAATTTTAATTTCAAAATAATATAATAATAAATTTTATATTATTAGTTATTTATTTCTTAACTAAACCTAAAAACCTCATGCTTCAGCCCTATTCACGCTCGATCTCTATAGCCATAGCCGCAATACTCACGCCCACACGAACTCTGCCTCTCTCACGCTCGATTGAAGCCACAAATCTCGCAAACGCCCAATTATGCAATTCAGCACAGGATTTAGCGTAGATTTCACCTCCCTTCAAGCGTCAGGGTACTCCTTCCTTCCGCCTCCATTCACGGGTATTCATAGCTCTCTACTTTTCTTGAACTTCTCTCCTTTATTTTTGTTATACTCCCGCATATCTCCTTCCCTGCTTTTCCCTCTTATCCTTTTCCTGTATTATTAGATTTACAATGCCCTTCTTGAGGTTATTGTAGCTATTTAAATGAGCAAAAGTTTTGAATTCATGATTTTCTAGTCACAATAGAGTCTAACAAAATCATTGCTCAAAGCTACCCTCTATCATAATGATATGAATACAAATCATAATATTAGAAAAATTTATAGATATGTGACAACTAATAGCATATGCCCTTAGAAATTCTTGTATTCAAATAGGTTTGGCAGTTTTATTTGTTCAAATTATCTTGAACATGCTTGTTTAAACAAATTTGCTTGAATGTATTGTTGTGCATGAAAAATTGGAATAATGCTACCATAAACAAAATTTTCATGAAATTTTGGAATAATGCTACCAGCACCATTACTTTCTTTCTGACATAAACAGCAGCTATATCAGTTCATTTGCAACCTCAAAAAAGAGTGCATGTATATTCTCAGCACAGTTGGAAAGGAAACAACTTTCCACATGATATTCTGCTAGCAACTAAAGCATTTGTTAAAAGAAAAATAAAACTTGCTTATCAAGTGTCATATTTCACAACAAATAAGTAGAAGGAATCATGTACTTTCAACATTTCATACAAAATTTAAAATTTTAAGCTTTTTACCAGCATAAGAAAATTTCTGCAGCATGCCCTTTAAGCATTATATAACCTTTTTTAAGCATAGCATAAATTTAAAAGTATATGTAACATAGGAGCTTAAAGAAAGAAAATTTGATTACTTTTTTTCCCCTAAAAGGCATCATAAAGTGAAATGGAACAATGATACCTGTATAAAAGGCCGATAATATTTCAAAAACTCCAAAACGTGCTCCGGTTCCTGAAAACTTTGCCATCGTTGACAAGCCTAGACCATTATAAAGGCCTAATAAGAGATAAAATAATATTTATGTTAGATGGCATGAATGCCATGTATTGAAATTTCAAACTCTTCCAGCAATGTTAGTATGATTAAAAACTGTGATAGCCATGTAAAAATTGACATGCCATGCCAAGTCATTAGATGGCATGTACCCATTCAAAGTCATCATTCAACAGCATGTAAAAATTCATAATATGTAGATATGAACACTCTTGAATGTACAACTTTCATCTTGAAATAAATCAAGTAAATGTGCATGTATGGCCCCTAACATTCATATACAATATTTTCCAAACAAAAACCGCTGTTAAAGAAGTAAATTAACATAATAGAAAAGACAAACAGAAACAAAGGACAGCTGCGGAAGTTGTGGCATGAAATAAATAAAATTAGAATGTACATTTGAAACCTTAATGTCAGCAATAATGCCCAAATCAAGAATGTTTCATAGAACTATAAGCATAAAATCCTTTGCCGATTGTTTTAAACAGTCTACACTAGTGCAGATATTTAAACAAAGACACTGCTCCTTTGTTGACTGGTAGAAATTCTCAATTAAAACAAGCAAACAGCAAAATACAATCTAAACACATGAAATGAAAATTCAAACGCCAAAAACAGCTACAGAGATCTGTGAAAAGACAAACCTGAAATCCCAGAGACCGATCTCACTCTGTCCAGCACCTGAGAAAAACCCAGTTTTTGTTTAGACCCGGCACCCACCTGTTGTATGAAACCATGGGAGAAAACCAGTCGAAAAAATATATTAAAATCTTAACTACGCCAATCGGTGGAAAACAATGTCAATTAAGCTTGGAGTTATGCTAACAATGAATAATGTGCTCATAAGGCATGCGAGAGAACGCGGAAGAGAGAAAAAGTACCTGGACGAGGGTTTTGAGTGTGTCGAGCGGATGTGCGATGGAAGACGAAAGAACGACGGCGGCAGAGGCAGCGACCGCGTGACCGGCGACGAAGTTGCCCTCGAAGGGACCTCCCATTTCTCCTGCCTGGAAACTCGACCGAAGTGGCGGCAGATCAGAAGCGTAAAGGTTTTGGAAAGGGTTTAACCTGGGTCGGTCCTTCGGCCTTCTCTTAGCGCTGGAAGCCTGGACCTCATTAGATGATGGAAATTTGACTTTATACGTGCGAAAAATTTTCCTTTTTTTTCCGCCGCCGGGAGATGCCGACAAAAATACAAAATAAAATGACTAGCACAAAAACTGAATATCAACAATCTCGAAAAAAAAAAAAAAACACAACTCTTTTTGGCCTATTGGTTGAGAGCTTAGGCTTCCAACTAAGAGGTCCAGAGCTCAAGTCTATGTGTATGCGTTGTGTGTGTGAGTTTGCCTTAAATGACCTAAATGTCCCAAAAAAAAAAAATCTCGAAAAAAGGACAAAAACTAACTTGCAATAAAATCTCAAAATTGTATTTAGGTTTCATTTTGATTTTTTTTTATTTATTTTTTTAAATCTCAATAACAATTTTTATTCTACATTAATTTTTGTTATTTTTAAAACTCCTAAATTATTTTCAGTATAAACTAAAGTTTCATTTGGAATGACTTTTTAATGCTTCTTAATGCAGTTTTTTAGTACAAAAATTAAATTTTTTTCACTAGAAAATTACTTTACGAATCAGTAAAAAAAATCGTCCAAAACGAACATTTTTACTACCTTTTAAAGCTAATTTTTAGTACAAAATTAAGGTTTCATTTGAGAAGGTTGTCTTACTGCTTTTTAAAACAGATTTTTAGTACAAACATTTTAATTTTTTCACTATAAAGCTGCTTTAAGGCTTTCATTTGAGAAGGCTTTCTTACTGCTTTTATTTTTTTCACTATAAAGGCTTCATTTTAGAAGTTGTAAAAAAGTCATCCTAAATAAAGTCTAAATTTTGTACTAAAAAGCTATTTTAATAAGCAATAAAAAAACTATCTCAAATAAAACTTGGGACGACTTTCTTACTGCTTCTCAAAGCAATTAAAAAATTAAAAATTTTGTACTGACAAATTGTTTAAGAAGCAATAAAAAGTCACCACAAAACGAAGCCTAAATCTTTTTCAATTTTTACATATAGACTTCAACCGATTTCAATTTGACTTCAACCGATTTCAATTTGAATCGTGGTTAGAATATTATTCCAATTCTTCAACTTTAAAGAAAGGTAGAGCTCCACCTTGATCGAGAATATTCAAATCTTATCATACATTATAGCCAGTCCACAAACACCTCCTCTAGTAGAGAGATTATTGGGTTCGGACACCTGACAAAGCTTACGTTCAATATTCACAGTATTGAGCTTGATATTGTGAAGTACTGAGTATCGTTTTCGTGTCGTGTCAAATATTGACACCCCTACTCGGTACCGAGTATGATGTGATGTGGCGCACGTCCGATATCCGAACCCAATAATTTACCCCTCTTTTAGTGATGTCGTCACTTTTGAACTCCTATGAACTCCAATCCACCTTGCATGCACATAGCCAGTCCTGTCATAGCCTTCCCAATGAGCTTCATTCCTCACTCATATGCCACAGGACCAACCACATCAATTAGACGAATTGCTTTAGCATTGGACCGTCGGTTGCAGTATCTAAAAATCGCCAATTGAACCATTTAAATACTTTAATAAAATTATATAAATATTAAATAAAGTAAACTTAAGTACTTAACAAATTATTTTAAATTATATATATTTACTTTTTTTTTTTTATGAGCATTATATTTTTATAATAAACATGTGTTAAAGAAGCACCAACTAATCACTCTCACGTAACCCTAGAAGTCAATGTGAATTCCTAACTTTTGAAAACCTAAAAAAATGTATATAAGTGCTAAGAGAAAACTCTGAAGTGATGTGAGGTTAAATAAATAAATTGAAATTACCATGTTCACAGCACATGCATTAAATATTATATTTAATTAATCCTTTAGAATGCAAATAATATTTAGTTTTTTTAGTTAATAAAATTTAATTATTATTCATTTAATTATATACAATAAAATGCATTGTGTTTAGATTTTCTATGTATTTCATACATGATATTGACATGCATAAAAAAAATGATGCAACTAATATAAGATAATGTGTTATTTGCATATAAATAAGAATATTGGTTGTTAACCTTATAATTAAAATGAGTTGACTACTAAAATATAATATATTGTATATGCGGGTGGGCTGACGGGCTTTTCTTTAAATAAAATATTTGTGATGTAATCGATCCTAGATGTTAGTCTGTAATCGATTAATTTAATTGCGCTAACGAACAGAGAGTGACGACTCTTCATTGATTTATTGAAAGTCACATATAAATTAATTTAAAATTTATTAATAATGATGACAAGATAATGATTGATGACCAACCGATCGACTATTAAAGTTAAATTAAAGACTGATAACAATTTGGTCGACAGTTGGGGTTTGAAGATGTTCAAAAAATATCACATTAAAGCTAGACGTCCTACCTTATTATTCATAATCACATCAATTATTGTATTTACATGATATCATATGAATTGATTTTAAATACAACTGATATTGAATCGATTGAACTAATACTGATATTAATATACCATAACATGATATATGATAGGGACATTGATATACATAATGATAAGCATATAGATATAACATATTGATATAGTATACTGACATGACAAACTGATGGACATCTATTTGTCACAACCTAACTCGATAAGATTCATTAATGAGCATGTCATATTGTGTTGAGCTGCAGCAAGCAAATCCTAATATATAATTTTAAAATTTTCTTATGAATTTTAGAACAAACAACAAATTACAGATTTATTAAAAACATATAAAATGCTAAAAATAAACTCATCATAAAACTCTCTTTTATTTCATCATCAAATATAACTATACTATAGCACATGACTACAAATAGTAAAATACTAAAAATAACATGATAAAAGTTAGACATGAATATACAAAAATCAAAATGAAAAAATAAAATATACAACCTCATGTTATATCTATACCGACATTGACATATTTTGTACTCTTTATACTTAAAACCAAACAGCCCTTTAAATTATAATTTTTATTAGGTCCGATGTCCTGACGTAGCTCTACGTTCGGACGTCAGTAAAATGGTGCCACATGCTCATACTCTTTATTGCGCGGGCCGACGACCCGACCCGGATCGGACCCGGGATTGTTATGTATTGGCTGATTTGTGCAGACCGGGGTATTGTTAGGTATTGCTCGATATTGCTCGTCAATAACGAGAAATATCATTATGTCAAGACCAATTCCTAGCAATACCGAGCAATACCTCGGTTTTGCTATGTATTGCTCGGTTTTGTTAGGTATTGCTCGTTATTGGTCTTGACATAGCGGTATTTCTTGTTATTGTCCAGCAATATCTAGTAATACCGAGTAATACCTAGCAATACCCGAACATAGCAATACCGGGTTCCGGTGCGGGTCGGGTCATCGGGCTGCGCGATAAAGAGTAAGAGCACATGTCGATAAGTTATTGACCTCCGGATGTAGAGCTACGCTATGTGTCCGGACCTAATAATTGTTCCTTTAAATTATTACCGTGTAGAATCAGTTCAGGTTGGGCACTTAATAATCAGACGTAATTAAGATTTACCATATTCGGATCGGATATTTTCAGTTAATGTGTTCGACTCTAGACCGACCCGTTAACCCAAATTCACATAAAAATGGCGCTCGCGGCTTACCACCGAAGTCGTTCCAGGAAAATCCCAGTCGCCGCGCTCAGAGGCGTGACTTCATTTCCGGCCGCCTCCTTCGATGGGTCAGTCGCAGAGCGGCTTTGCTTCCGACGATGAGGGAAAGAAGATGCCCTCACCTTCGACAGTTACTCGAACTTCTTCGTCTGCTTCTCCTCCTTCCATGGAAGATCTAATTGCAGGTTCAAGCATCGCTTTATCTACCTCTTTTCATTATAAGCAAGCTATTTTTGTATCCTTTCAGATATTATCATGGCGAAAGGTTCTTGGTGATGGATTGTTTTCTTTATTATTTTCATATCGCACTGGGGCTTTTCAGGTTTCGGAGAACGCTAACTACCAATCTATATTTGCAGGAATGTCATGTATAGGGCATCATTATTTTTGCTGGTAGTGTAGTTAATCAGGAAACATTGATTAATAAATCAAACTCTCGATATTTCGCTGATGAAAAACGATCTTACTAAACTTTCAGATGTTACGTTTAAAGATGGCATCATAATACAGCGTTGGCTGTATGCATATACCCAATCGAGAAGGAAAATTGAACTTTCCATTTATAATGATTTAGATGGTATTCAAACAGGCTCTTATACAATTAGGATACTCAAGTTCACCTTCTTGGATAGCTGAGTCACTGGTTGAGCTGTGACGTTAACATGTAGTTAATCCGTCTTAAAATTGTCATTATTTCGATGCAATTTCTATAGTCTTTTGTTCGTTAGAAAACACATCTAATTTTCAGTTCATTACTTCTACGAATATGCATTTAATCAGCATGAGCTTCATTGTTTCCCCACGAATACAGCGGAAACTGCTAGTACTTTGCGATCCTTGACATTTATGTTATTGTGTTTTTCTTTCAGTTCCTGTAAAATTAGCTTCAAATAATGTCTGGATCTTAATAAAATATCAGTTCTCTATCTGACTTCTATGTGCCTTTGGAGCGTATTATGCATTTTATGTTAGACTTATGATTATTTCACCCGTCTGTTTGCTTCTCTTACTGTTATGCATCATAACAAAGGGGTATCCAGAGTGGGAGACTTACTTCTAAAATCAAGTTGGGTGTAGGAGGACCAGAGGGTGGTTGGGTAGTGCTCCCTGGGTCGGTCGGGCAATGGAGGTGTGAGGAGTGGAACTACCAGAAGGTCTGTAGGAAGGCCTAGAGTCGTCGGCTAGGGTGTTTTGGGAACGGATTTCCTCCAGGTATAACACTAAGTTGTAGCCATTTTCAAGTGTAGTGACGTTCCAGGCAAACAGTTCGTTGCGAAGATCCTCTAGCAACCCGATATGAAACATAGACAGAATATGTGCGGGGGTGGTGGAGGACTCCCCTTTGCAACGAATCAGGAGTCATCAAAAGACGCAATGTAATCCTTGAATAGTTTATTGCCCTGAGTCAACCTATTCCACCTATCCAGGATCCTAGGGAAGTTCGAGAGAGGTAAGTACTTCTGCTTAAGCTCACACGTCATCGACAACCAATCAGTAATGGGATACTCGTTTCGGGACTCTCTAAGGCTCTTTAAGTTTCACTAAAATTGACTAGCCCTACCGGTGTGTATCATCTCAGCAAATTTGACTTTCCTAGCTTCAGAGATGTTGTACCATTTAAAGAAACTATTCATACCCTTAATCCAATCCAGAAAAAACTGAGGATCGAGTGTATCATCAACGATTGGGGCATCAACCTTGATATTTTTCATCAGTTGAATATCCGGATCAAGGTTATTATCATGTCCATAGTGGAGAGCTCGATAAGGGGCATGAGGTGGTCCCTCATGCGGAAAGGATCGTCCCCGTACATGGAAGGAGGTATAGACGGAGTGTAAGGAGTATGGTGGTTCCTACCTCGATATAGGGTATTAAATCGGTCAGTAATAGTTCTACGGAGTTCAACGATGTTAGCTTGGCTTTTCTTGAGTTGCTGGCTAATGGTGTTCATTTGACCTACCAACAGATATAGAGTCCGGTGAAGTTGTTCAGGGTCCATCCTAATGTTTAGGGTGACTCAGACTTATGTAGAAGTAAAAGAAAGTAATATGCAAACAAACAATTATGCAAGATGCGATTTATATGCTAAAACATGTAAGAAAATTTTCCTAATATGCATCTAAATGCAACAATGCTCTAATACCAGATGATGTAGAACTAGGTATATGATTTAAATGAAATAAGAATTTGTACACTTTCAAGTAAGAACAATAAGAATTAAAATGCTAACTACTTAGCAATAATAGAAAACAAAAGAGAGGTGTTTCCTCTTAGGCCAAATCACACGCTAAAAGTTAAGATCACCAAAGCAATTATAATTTCAACATATGCAAATTTAGAGGATTTTCAATAGCATCCCTAAGTTAACAATGAGATTAGAATGCATAGAAAGTCAAAACTCATGCCCTACATTTACTAAGCATTGGCATATAGCTTTTCACGATTCCTTGTGCTTGCTTCACCACCTACAAGAGAAGAAGATTAGGTAGAAAATTGAATAGGAGGAAAACTTCACCCTCGTCGTGGCACTGTGGTGATTTGCCACTAAACGGTAGAAATCTGCTCTTTGATGGCTTCGGACAAGGTGAAGATGATACGCTCCAAGTACTCTGCGGAATTGTCTGCTTCCGGATTGATGTCGAAGAAAGACGATTGGAGGATGTCAACGAAGCATTGTTCGTTGTAGACGAAACCGGAGTCAAGATCGGATCGTCCATGTATCGATTTCATAGTGTTGAAGTGTTGTAGACGACGTCCTTTGCTCTCCTTAAGGATTCTCCTTGAGAGAAAGAAGTTTCTCTCAAGAATTCAAGTGGAAGAAAGGGTGAGAGGTGGCCGGCCAAAGGAAGTGGCTTGGGGAAGAAATTGGTTCAGATTTTGGGGAGGAAGGATGGAAGGAAAATTGGAAATTTATTTCCTTATTTAATCCTTAAGTTTGAAAAGGGTTAAAAGAGAAATAGGTGAGAGGGAGTGGGCGGGTTAGAGAGAGGGAGATGCTTTGAATTCTTCCCAAAGAGAGGCTTGAAGTTTGGAAAGTAATCAAGTGGGGACCATGAAGGGGCCGGCGGCATAGGGAGATGGGTTGGGGAATTAAGCAAGTGAATTATGACTTACTTAAATGGGATTCACAAATTAAGGAATTGGATTTAAATCCAATCTAATTCAAATTCAATTTGGATTTGGTTTTGGAAACTTTCCTAAAATAGAATTATATTTTAGGAAATATTTCAAACTTCAAATTTGAATTGAATGATTGAAATTGAAAACTTTCCCAAGAGAGACTAAGTAAGAAAGGAAAGTAATGATGTGGAATTTGAAAATTTGGAGGCAACGGGGAAAGGGGGAGGCCGGCGGCTAGGCTAGGGTTTGGATTAGAGTTAGGTGGAGGTGGATGAATTAAGTGGGTCACCCAATCAAGGGGAACCACCTTGGATGGCCGGCAGTTAGGTGGAGTAGTGGAAAGGGCCTTGGCCGGCAGTGGGGTTGTGGATGTAGCCGGCGGTGGGAAGTTTTTGGAGGGGCCGTGGAGTAGAAGGGAAGGGAGGGAGAAAGAGGAGGAAGACAAGAAGAAACTAGCCAGTAGCCACGAACCCGAACTCTTTCAAGGTTAGTGTGTGATTTGCTTCCCTTTCCAAGGGATTTCTCTCCAAAGACTCTCAAGCTCTCACAAGAATTCAATGTGCAGAAATTTGATTATAATTCATTCATTAACTTCAAAATAAACATAAGGGGGCTATATATAGCCCCATATAATGAAAGGGAAAATAAAAGACGACATAGCCCTTAGGGCTTACACATGACAAAACCCTTAAGGGTAAACAAGGAAAAATAACTTAAACAAATACATAAAGCAAATAAATGAAACAAATACATATGAAGACTAAAAAATAGATCGGCGCAATCGTGGCCGTACGGTCACGTCTCTGATATACTTTCCATGATATGATGTCCCCATCATAAAGTATGGCTCTTAATAAAATATTTGTTCTCTATTTGACTTCTATGTGCTTTTGGAACATATTATTCATTTTATGCTACACTTATGATCATTTCACCGGTCTGTTTGTTTCTCTTACTGTCATGCATAACAGAGTGCCTGCCTCTATGTGTTACCATTGTAACTTGTCACCAAGTTGACTGGACCTGTGATTTCTCTTCCATCAAATTCCACTCTTTCGAAATGCTATTTGGAAACGCATATGGTTTTGCTCGCTCTCTTTGGATTGATATTGGCAAATGTAGCCAGAAAGGCTTGGAGCTTTAATCTAGATCTTCTGAAGTCATAAAAACTTGACCAGTTTGTCACGCCTCACTTGTACTAGAGCACGACAAGCAACCCAATTATGCCTGACAATGCTTATTCTCCACACGTACCTCCAACCCCATTATACAATTTAGGGAAGTTCAGTGGGACATTGTGAAGTTTAGTAAAAACAGGAGTCAACATAATCTATGTCAAGTGAAATGTTTTTCAAATGCTATGGCATGCTCCTTTAATTGTTTTTTTTTTTCTTATAGGCGTTGTTTATCTTGCTTAGTTTTTTGGTTACTTTTTGAAGAAAGTAACCCAAAAAGCAGACGTGGCTTTAAACTAGTGAGAAGGTAAAGATGGTTACAACAAGTTTAAACAGTAGCCAGAGAGCCACTTTTGGAGGCAAACAACTTCTAATTTGTGATAACCCACTGGTACAAGAATCCGAAAATAAACTAAAAATAAGAATAAGTTTGATGCTCACTCTGTTTATTGATATTTGAATCTTTTAGGACTTCTAGTAGGTTTGGTTTAGAAAAAATTTCTCTGATATCAATCAAAGCTATGTAGTGTGATTACGAGTTTAACATCAAAGAAATGAATTATCATGTTAGACACATCAAAGAAAATCATTGATAATAATTATAATGCATGACAAATCGATTGAGCAAATTTGCAAAAATAATCGAGATTGAAGGGGGTGCTAGATAAAAGATGAGAGAACAACGTGCTTTCTATTTTCAAAATATATACAAAACATAGAGATTAAATAAAAGCACATAGAAAACAGGTATTGAATAAATTGAACAAGATTAAAGGAATTGAAAATAAATAAACATAGAAAGGTTAACCTATTGAAAATAGGAAGCTGGAAGCCATTAAAACAACAAGGAAGAAAGATAAAATTTATTTTATCGGGAAATCGGCATATAA